TGGGGGCCACCTGGGACACGCAGGTGGCCGGCAGACTGAGCCAGGCCTCACAGGACACCCCAGGAAGTCCTGCCCGGGAGCCGGGGCTCCACGCGGCTGGCCTTCCTGCCCTCCCGGCACCGAGACTAGGCAGCCTGGCCAGGCTTTGCGGACAGGAGGCCTCCCCATCGGGCGTCCCCGGTGACCGGCCGGCCCGTGGGAGAGGAGGCCGGGCGAGCTGTCTGTGCCAGGTGGGGCCCTGTGGGAGGGTGGGCTCAGTCCCACGTCGACGCCAGGCTGGCGAGGGCTGGCTGGGGACATCACACTCGCCAAGGCCTTGCTGGGAGGTGGGCCAGGCAGAGAGGGACACGCGTCTGATCTCTCCGTCTCCCTGATTTCTGAGCTCTCGGGCTCTGACTCTGGCTGGACAAGTCCTTGTGAAGAATGAGTATGTTCTCTTCGAGGCCCTGCCTGGCCAGGTGCTCAGCATGGGGTTCCCCTCTGTCGCTGTCCACTGAGCAAGGGCACGGCAGGAGGAGAGACCACGGGGAGAGACTGGCCAGGAGGGACGGCTTGCTCTCCAGATACTGCTGGGACCAGTAACCCCTCCCCGAGCCTCCTGAGGCTGGGTCGCTTCTCGGTGTGTAAGGAATGTGGGGGGCAGCCTCCTGCCACCTGCACTGTAGCCCCTGCTGCCGGCTGGGTCTCAGTGAGACACGGAGAAGTCACCTTCCTCTGGGGAGAAGGCCCTTGGGATGTCTGCGGGGGCCTGAGGGTGCCGTCTCCACGGGCTGTCACATTGCCACTCAGTCGGGACCCCGGGTGTCATTGGGCCCCCGCCTCCCAGGCCACTGGGACAGCACGGACGCTACCTGCCCTGACTCAGGGAGCGGTGACCAGGCAGAGGCCCCTCCTTCCCCTGTTGAGGACCCGCGTCACAGCTGCTTGGAGGTCCGGGGGAGCTCTCCCCCAGGCGCCACCCCAGGCTCCGTCCTACCCCGGGATGGGCCGCGCGTCGGCTGTGCTGCCTAGAGGGCACAGGCAGGACCGGCGTCTGCGGCCTGGCCTCTGCTCACCCTCCCTCTTCTTTTTTCTTGAGAATTCAAATTTCTCGTGGCTTTGACTGTGGGGCCCAGTGTGAGGACAAGGGGTCTGGTCGGGGTGAGAGCAGCCGCGTCTGGTGCCCACCCAGCAGGCCCCGCGCAGACAACAGACGCACACACAAGTCCCAGGGCAGAGCCCCGGGAAGGGATGCTGGTCCCTGGCTCAGAAGCACCTCACCCAGGCATCCCAGCAGAGGGGGGCAGTGGGGCGGGGCAGGGGACCTGCCCAAACATGGGTCCATGGGATCTGAGCTCTCCCCAGGCCTCGCTGAGGGGCCCCTGTCCCTGTAGGCCATCCAGGGCGCTGGGGGGTGGGTGGAGAGAGCCCTCTGGGGTTTGCTGGGGTGACTGGAAAGTAGGAGGTCTCGGGGGCTGCGTGTGTGCAGGCCTGCAGGGCCGGCCTTCCTCCACGTCTGCCCAGGGGCCGAGGGGGCTGACCCTCCTCCCCTCCCCCCGCGTCCAGGGCTCCGGGGCCTAGGTCTGTTTGGCACTCTGACTCTGAACTTGCTCCCTGGGTTTTGTGACCGAGCCCCACGGTGATGATTTGGATAGAAATAGCGAAGGCCCCCGCCCCACCCCCCGGACAAGTTGGGAAACACAGGAGCGCTCTGCCCAGCCGCTTTTCTTCCTAAACATAAACATCGTTTTCATTGTTTTTGCCAGGAGTATGGTTTCATCTGGAAAAGAGGAAAGAGCCACGGGACGAGTTGCTGAGCCTCAGGGGCAGACCCGGGTGGATGGTGAGTGCAGACGAAGCAGGGGGTCTCCGGAGTGGGTGGCCTCCTGACCCCGGTCTGTCCACGACGTGCAGACCCATGTGGACGCAGCCCTGAGGACCCAGGCGCTCTGGATCCTTCCTGGGGACTCACTGCTGGAGACACCTATGCAGGCGGCAGGAGGCAGAAGCCGGCTCGGGCAGGCTGGCGGCATCTGTGGCCGCCTGAGCTCACGGCCGGGAAGGGCAGCGGCTGCAGCTGGTTCCCCGCACCTCATTCCCCGGTCAGGGAGGTCCGGGAGTGCCTTTGCCTTTCGGGCTCTCGTGTCCCCCAGTGGCCTGACGCTGTGGTCACAGCTGGCTCTTGGGGGGCTGCCCCACCGGCTCTGGAGGTGGGGACAGAGCACTTGGGTGGAGGGTCAGTGGGGCCGACTGGTCCGCCCATCGCGCCAGTCCTACCGGGGCTGAGCTGGCTGGGAGACAGACGAGAGAACGGCAGGGAGGGCGGTGGGAGGGGCGGCTGGCGGGGGTGAGAAAGCCTGTCTGGTTTGGGCTGGTTTGGACCCAGGGATCCTTTCCTCCTCCGCCGCTTTTGCCTTCAGCGTCAGAACACAACTATTCTGCGCGAAGCTTCCTCCTTCACCGACGGACGGACCTCTGCTCTGTCCATCCGTCCCCACCGTCCTCCCACCTGGCCACACATCTGTCTACCCATCTGTCCTTCTGTGCACATCTGTCTCACCCATCCGCTGGTCCGCCCAACCGTCCGTCCGTCCATCCATCCACCCACCCATCACCCAGCCACCGTCCATCCACCTGTCCACCACCCACGCGTCTGTCCGTCCACCCACCCTTCTGTCCATCCTTCCCTCCTTCCAGTTACTCAGCTACCAGTCTCCCTGCACACCTCCTCTGCCCGGTTTGCCTCCACTGTCCCATTCTGCCTGGCACAGAGTAGGGGCTCCCATTCACCCACTCATTCAGCCGACATTTGCCGAGGGCCTCTAAGGGTCACACTGTGGGGGTCACACTGGGTCCCGGTGAGACACGGAAAAGCCACCTTCCTCTGAGGAGAAGGCCCTTGCTAGATGCTGAGGCTACGCGAGGGAGCAAAACTGACGCAACGCCTCCCTTTGTTTGGAGGCTGAAACCAGACGCATGGCCAGGCCGGGCAGCCCCCTGACCTGAGCATGTGAGGTGGGCTGGGGAGCAGGAAGTGTTCGCTGGAGGTGGGGTGAGGCTTCAGAGCTGGTGGCCAAGGAAGGCCTCATGAGAAGGTGGCTTCAGGGAGGTGAGCAGTGTAGGCAGCGTGAAGAGCGCATGCAAAGGCCCTGAGGTAGAACCAGGCAGGACGGGGCAGCTGCAGGGGTAGGGCAGAGAGCCAGGGGGAGCAGCAGGAGGTAGGGGCAGTGAGCGCGGGACCCGCTCTGGCTGGCCTGGAGGTCCTGGCACAGACATGGGGAGTGAACCCTGATGGCGCCTGCTGTGGGCAGGGTGTGGGCAGGTGGGGCCGGGCTGGGGATGTACTTCGAAGCAGAGCCGACAAGACTGGCCATGGACCACAGGGCAGGAGAGAAGCAGAGACAGGAGCCAAGCATTTGTGCCTGAACAATGAGGACTGTGGGGCGAGGGGCAGGGGGCGGCCCAGTGGAGGGGCCGAGGAAGCCTCGGCTACGTGGACGCGGGACCGCGTGTGGCGCCCGAGGGAGGGGTGGGGGGCTCCATCCCGGAGGGTGGGAGGCAGAGTGCAGACGCAAGCACAGGAGGGCAGCGGGTGCTGGGTGGAGGGGCACGGGGTCCGTAGGGTTCCGGGGACAGGAAGCAGAAATGTGTTTCCCGGGGCTGGGGGCTGGGTGGTCCCTCCCTGCTCCCCATTCCTCAGAGAAGAGGTGACGGGCTTCCAGCGAGGGCCCAGCCCAGCTCCCGCCCACACCACGCGCACAGGGTGGGCCCCAGCGGCCCTGGAGGCAGGAGCCCGTGGAGGCCTTGGGTCCTGGCTCTGGCCCGTCCCCCACCCATCCCCGTCCAATGGCCACAGCTCCCCGCTCCTAGGCCCTGGGTGGTCTCAGAGGCAGCCGTGAACTTCAAGAACTGTCCCCCAGACCCGCAATTTGCTTCCAGAAAACCAATCACCCGCTGGAGCCTCTGGGTTTTTCATATGGCAGCAGGTCCCCATGTCCCTGAGTGGCCTGCGACGGGTGGGACGGGGTGGGGTTGGGGAGCCACCCTCCGGGGGCTGGACTGTTGTTGGGAGGCAGTCCTGCCAGACTCGGGCGGGGGACCAGGACCAGCCTCTCCCCAGCCCGGCCAGGGGGAGTGGAGGTGCCCCCCAAGGGGTCCTGGCTGTGTGGGTCAGGCGTCTCTCAGGAGCTGGTGCTGAGCGTTTTACTGAAGCCATGGGGTGTGCGAGGGTGGCCCTCGGGCCCGCCGGGGAAGTGGGGGAAGGGGCCCCGCGGAGCTGACATGGCTCTTCCTTCCCCTCACAGTGAAGATGGTCTCCCGAGGGGGACCCTGGGGGCTGTCAGGTGCACGGGGTGGCTGTCCGAGCTTGGGTGTCGGGGCCTTCTCCAGCCACGTGGGGCCGTTGGTCCGTCCCCTTCCCCAAGACCCGCAGGTGTTTGAAGGCGGTGGGCAGCGTGTGGCCCAGGAAGGGAGGGTCGGTCACGTCGCAGATCATGATGACGTACTCCCCTGCAAAAGACGGGCGCTCAGACGTGGCCCCTGCAGCCCCCACAGCCCCCGCCTGCCCAGGCTCCTGCCCCTGCCTCTGTCCAGCCTCGGCTCCTGTCCTCCCGCACACCCCGCCTCGGTGCCCCGCTGGAGGGTCTGGCCCGTCTCCTTGGCCGGTGACCCGGGCGCTGGGGGGGCGGAGAGCCCTCAGTGCTGGTGGGGCTGCATGGCTCAGTGCAAGGATTCTTTTGAAAATGCTCCCCGTCTTTTTAGCAGAAAAGGAATTCATTTTCTCTAAGATGTTTTTTTAAGCAGCGACGGCTGGGGCTGGGGAGATGTGGCTGCTGGGCCGGCTGGGGGCTGGGGCAGGAGGCCGCCCGCCGGGGGGCTCAGGAGAAGGCGCAGCCTTTCCCTCTCGCCGTCTGTAAACTGTCTGCAGGGTTTCAAAGTTGGAGAAGCCATAAAAAAGAAAATAAGAAATAACAGAAAGTGCGGTTGCCCTAGAAACCGTCCTCTCTCCTCCCCCCCCGAGCCCAAGGGGGCTGGCACCGGAGCGTGGAAAAAGCGCGCTGGGCTGGCCCCTGCTCACACCAGGAATGCGGCCGCAGCTGAAATGGGGCACAGGACGCAGCTCACACCGTCAGGGAGAACATTCCAGCGCAGGGTCTGGAACGCAGGCCCTCTCCTCTCCACGCCTGCGGACACCGCGCGCTCCTGGGCCCGGGTGAGGGAGCGCTCGGTGGCAGGAACCGGCTGGGCTCTGAGTCAGTCCCTTCAGCAGCTCGGGGGGCCCGGGGGGGCCCACATTCCACAGCCCTGGGCTCCAGGCCTCCTGGGCCGGCCTGGAGGAGACCCGCGCATGGCAACGCCACAGTGTTTCCAAGCAGCTGGGGTTTCTAGGTGTTCCCGGGAACACAGCTCCGCCAGCCTGCGGCCGGGCCGGGGAGCCGGGCTTCGTGGGCAGCGGCCACGGGACCCAGCCCAGCCTCGTCTGACCTCGCTCCTGACGCTCTTCCCAGTGGCCAGGAGAGGGTCTGGCTGCCGGCCACCCCAGGCCCGGCCCACACGCTCTGGTCGCGGGCCCCGTGCCCGGCGTCCCCACAGAGACGCACGGCCCACATCCCAGGAACTTGGCCACCCGCTGGCTTGTCCCTACAGTCTGGAAACTGCTTCTCCTCAGGGCCCGGCCCTCCTCCAGCCAATCCCATCGGTCCTCCCAACTCGGCGCGTCCCCTCTGCCCACCCTCCTCCTGGGGCACGAGGGTCCCAGGGGCATGAGATATGGGGAGCATGGCACCAGACTCGTGGGCTGCTGCTGGGACCCCCAGTGCCAGCCCAAAGGGGGACGTGGGGGGCGCTACCCAGGACCCAGCCCTCCTCCTGCACAAGGTGGGCTCAGGGGCACAGTCCTGCCGACACTCCCATACGTACACGGGGTCAGAGCAGGCCCAGACCTGGAGGCCTGCCAGCCTTCCTCTCAGGACCCTGGACACAAGGAGGCGGGGCTTTGCCCATGGGGACAGAGAGGACTGCAGGATGGGCAAGCACCCCTCGCCATACCTGCCCCCTGCTGAAGCCCTCAACGATGGGACGGAGGCTGGAGAGGGCCTAGTGGAGGCCCTGGGCCCATCAGGGTCCCCTCCACCTCTGGTGCCTCTGGGGGTGCCCGGGATGGTATGCCGGGTGGCCAGGCTGGGAGCTGTTGAATTTAAGGGTGCGTGCAGGGGAAGGGGGTGCAGGGGACCTTCCAAAAGGTCCACAACTAGGATACATGTGGATTGTGAGGTGACTGGTGGCCTTGGCCCACTCAACTGGGTCCTCCTCGTGCCCACCTACCTGGGAAGGCAGCTGCCGCTGGCTCGGCCGAGGCCGCCCCGTCAGGCCTGCAGGGAGAAGAGAAGGAAAGCCCTAAATGACTGCCCCAGCCTTCGGCCCTGCGTGGGCGCAGCTGCGACCATCCTGTCCCCGGAGACCCCACAGCCCCGCCTTCCGAGGGCAGTGTGCGCGATCCCCTCCGGACGGCTCTCCGGCCCTCGGCTGGTGCCTTCCTGTCTACACCCGAATGAGCCCACAGCCAGAGGCGGGCGGCGGCTGCACAAACTCACCCCCGGCCCACAGCCAGCAGCGCTGTGAGCAGAACCGAGCTGCAGGTTTGGGTGCACGAGGCCGCGCAGCGCTGGGCAGGGGAGCGGCTCCGGGAAGGGCCGACGTACCGGGCCCACTGCACTTGGCACGTACATTCCCGAGGCAGCCGGGCGCCGTGGGACGGGGGCCGTGGGACGGGGGCTGTGGGGCACCGGTGCCTCTCCATGGGTCCCCTCAGAAGGACCGAGGCCGCTGCTGTCTGGGAGACTCACGGGAATGGACTGGAAAGGTAGCAGGCAGAGGCAAGAGGGATGGGCCCAGGCCTGGCCCCACGTCTGAGGGGCAGAGACCTCACTTTTGGCCATGGCTGCCACAGGAGGGCCCGGGGGGCAGCCTGAGGCTCTGACCTGACGGGAAGTTCTCCTCTCTGTGGTGCGTGGTGCCCATTCTGCCTGCCCACAGGGGCGGTCACCTGCCCAGGGGGATGCGCCGTGCGCTGGCGAGGACAAGGGGACCCCTGGTGCAGGATCCCTGTCTGAGCCCCGGTGCAACTCCTCAGCTTCTGCCCTGGGTCGGGCTCTCAGCCGCCCCCGCCACCTTGGTGGGACGGCCCACCCGACTCCTCCCGCTGCCAGACACGCTTTCCTGGCGGGATGGAGGTCCCGAGTGCGGCCGGCTGGGCCTTGACCTGAATTCTCTACTCAGTGGGACCTGGGGGGAGCTGGGGGACTCCTCCCACCCCTGCCCTCCGCGGATGGCGGTTTCCTGTCATCAGAACTGGTGGGGGAGGTGGAGGACGGGGGGTTCCCTGGCATCGGCTCAGCGACCCGCCAGGCTCCGACCCTTTGCCAAGCTTAATTACCACAGGCATGGTTTGGGTGATAAAAAATTAAAGACAAAAGATTTTAAAATTACTTCATTTCAAGTGGGGGAAAATGGGCCTTGGCTTGGACCCAGGAGCCACGTTACGAGTTCTGAAGTGTGGGTGAGCAGGAGCGCGGAGAAATGATTCCGCACTAAGAATAACCAGAGCCCGTCCGCCTGCCAGCTTCCAGAGAAGGAGGGCAGAGCCGGGAAGGAGCTGGGGAGCCGCGGAGTGCGGTGTCAGGGGCACCCGTTAGAGGGACGGCGTGGGGATGGCGTGGGGACACGGTGCCCCAGGAGAGCAGGGGCGGGCCCAAGGCGGCAGCGCTGGGCGGCCGCGTGAGCCGGGGACGCAGTGGGAACTCAGACTGGGTGCGGGCCGTGTAGACAGCCGCGGGCTGAGCCTCGGGGCTCAGGGCCCGTCAGAGCGGGGGGAGCAGACTGGCTTCCTGGGCAGACACAGGAGCCCCCGGTGGGCGGGCGGGGGGCTGGGGGCGTTGCTGGGAGCTGGGCTGGGGCCGGGCCGGTGCCGCGTCCTGCGTGTTCTCTGTACCCGCAGCTGCTGTCCTTGTCCTCAGGCTTCCCGTGTTTGGGGCTCCTTGCGTCTTGAATCCACAGGTTACTCTTCTGCACCTCTCGGCCTCTGACCCTGCGCGTGGTTGGCCGCTGGGAGCCGACGGACGGCTCTGCTCGTGACCTTCACCGGCTTTTCTTTCCGGGCTGCATTTGGGGGCTGCCGTGGCGTCCCTGGAAGCTCACGGCTCTCCTTTCCTTCCACCCGTCCCTGCCCACGCGTGTCGGCTCCCGCGGGCGACTCCACTCCCTCCCGTCCCCGCACCGGCCGAGTGCGGCCAGCCTTCCCTGCTGGACATGCTTCTCCTCTCCGCGTTTCCTGTCCCCGTCCGCTGATTCTCCCGTTTCTGTCGTTTCTGGGTTGGCTTTGACTGGTTTCTTCTTCCTGGTTATGGGCTCTACTTTCCTGCTTTGTGTGCCTGGTCACCCTCAGCCCGACGCCCGACACCATGGCCTCCTCTCCTGGCTCCTGTGTTTTGGATGCTGTTCCGTTACTTGGACACGGTTTGATCCTTTTGGGTCTGGCTCCTAAGGTGTATCGGGCAGAGTTCAAGACAGGGTTCGTTATTCCCCAATACTAAGTACTCTTCTGATATCTTGGGATGAATCCGGAGGTCTTCCGGGCTGACCGCTGGACCCAACGCCCCACAGCCCTGTGTGAGCTCTGGGCGGGACTGGCCGTGCCCCTCCCTGTGGTTTTCCGGGCTTCAGGCACGTTCCTCACGCTCTGCAGATCTCCAGGACTCCTCTCCCGTGCTCCCTCCTGCGGACTCTGGCTGCCTTGGCTGCCTAGGAATCCCAGCTCCATGTCTGCCCTTGTGGGGACCCCGGGACCTGCTGGGTCCCCTCCCTGCACCACAGCTGGAAACGCTCAGGAACTGGGCTGGGGCCTTGCGGCGTCGTGACAGCGGGGCTGTTGCTTCCTGGATCTTGTCCCACTTGTTTCTTGTTCACCTGGAGGGGCCGGGGGGAATCCAGCCCCCCGCACTTCACCCTGGCTGGGAGCAGAAGCCTGTTTCTGCATCTGTAGGCCGAACTGAGATGTGGGGCCCTGGTATCCCCAGCCCATGTCCTTGTGGCCACTCCTGAAGGGCTGGGCCTCCTTGTGGAAGGCCGAGCATGAGGTCTCTGCCCCTGCTATTGGGGTTGTCCTCGAAAGTCCTCAAATGGCATCTTGTTCCAATGGCTTGTGCCCCTGTGAGGTGGGGTTGGCCCCACCTGACTCTCCCGTAGTGAGGCCCCAGTCCCCGCAAGGCCTCGTGGGCCTCACCTTCTGCCTGCCCTCGTGGGATGCGTGGCCCAGCGGGCCCCAGGAGGGGAACCAGATGGCCTCCTGCCAAGGTCAACAAGGTAAATCTGCAGGTTCTTCCTTGTGCCCAGCTCCTTGAGGGGCTCACCGGTGCAGTTGCGTCCCCTCCGCACAGCTGGCCCTGGTGTCCCCCACGACCCCATGTCTTTTCTTTTTCTTAGGCCCCAAGAATGTCCTTGTCTGAGCCATGTGACCTTGACAGGCTCTCCTGACCCCACCTCTTTTCAGGGCCGCACTGACAAGTCACGAGGCCCCGCCAGGAAGGGGCCTGGGGGTGTTGTCCCACTGGAGTTCCCACGAACACGTCTGACCCTAAGCAGAACTGTCACTGAGGCGCTGTCCGCAGCAGCCTGGGCGGGGCCTGGGGGCCACAGGCAAACCCTGGGGCATGTGGCTTCTCTGTGCTTCTCTGCATGGCCCTGGCTGGGGAGGGCAGGTTGGCAGAGCTGAAGAAATGGCCCTAATTGGAGAGGAAGCCTGAGGCCGGTCAGCTGACCCTGACCCAGTGGGCCCGGAGCCCATGTGTGCACTTGACCTTTAACTGGGCAGCTGCACGGGGCGGGGGGCAGCTGGGGGGGGTGAAGACCCCACGGCCAAACACAGTGCACGGCAGGAGAAGGGGGTTCCCTCAGGGGAGCCCAAGATCTCCAGCAGCCCAGGTGACTCAGGCCTGTCCACCAGGTCACCGAGGGACAGGCAGGGCTGTGGGCTTGGTGGCCCTTTGGTTAGACGAGGAGAGCACTGACTGCAGTCCAGACAGGTGGCAGGCGCTGGGGGCGCAGGCTCAGGGCGCGATCGGGGGTCGATCCTGACCCACTCACATGGGAAGCGAGCCCCAGGGCTTTCTATGGCCCCCACCGAGAGCCCAGAAGAAAGTTGCAAAATTAGGACAGTCTGGTAACTGCGGGAGCACGGCTGACCTGGATCTGGGGCTGCGCTGGGACGCGGCCTGCCAGGGGCCCCTGAGACCCACGGGCCCCGAGCAAGAGCCACAGAGTACACAGGCCATGGAGTGCAGCCCCGGCTTCTCCCCCAGACGGCGTGGCCCCCTCAGCAGAGGGTGGTTGGCTCCATGGGCACCCAGCAGGCAGGCCTGTCCTCACCCAAGCTCACGCTGGGCCCGCGGGTTACACGGGTACAGGGGCGCCTCCGAGCGAGGCCCGCACACGCCGGCAGGAGAGCGGCTGAACGCACGTGCACCAGAGGCCCCCGGGAAGTCTCGGCCTGGACCCAGGGGGCAGCGGGGGGGACGGAGCTCCAAGGGCCATTTAGGGGCTCCTGTCCCCAGCGGGCAGTCAGTTCTGGGCCCAGAAAGCCAAGGGGGGCCCTGCTGGGAGGGGGGCGGCTGTGAGGACGCCCCCCACCGCCAGCCTCCATCTGCTGCCCAGGTCACTATCCCAGCCCAGCGTCAGGCGGGAAACATCCCACCTGTGCCACGGGGGGCC